TGCCGTGTTCGCGCCGTACTGGTATCCTATATTTTTAAAAATTGACGTGTCCCGTATCCGTATCGTGTCGTATCCGTGTCGCCATATCCGTATCGGTGCAACATAAACTTAAGCATACAAAATTAGGTCAAATCCCAAAACAGTCCCTTCTATTTGAATTTTTCCTACTAAAACCTCCTTCGTTTCCTCTTAATCAAGCAAGTGGACCCCCACCTTCAAGGGTGGCAAGCATGGAGGGCAAAACTTCCATGTCACTCTTATAAAATTAGACCGGTCCTTGGACCTGTCTATTAATACTCCCCTCCCTAAGAGCTACTTTGTCTTTAAGGTGGAAGGAGGGAAATTGATGTTCACCCTCTCGTATGGTTCTCAAGTGACATCATAGTTAGTTAATCTCTTTCACTTAATCAACCCTTCATTAGACTTGCCCTTTCCTTGTCAGAGCCCTTTAAGCTCATGTGGTTCCAAAACCACCTCCATTGTAGTTCTGAACTAGTTGCATGATCCTCCGCTGCTCTCCTCAACTGTGAAACATGGAACACTTGGTGTATGAACGCCGTCGGGGATAAACTCAAGCAATAAGCCACTGCTCTAATCCCCTCCAATACCTTATAAGGGTCAAAATACCTCGCGGCTAACTTCTCATTTCTTCAGTTGGCTACTACCCTGTCCGTTTGGTCGCAGCTTTAAGAATGGCGTATCCGCAATGACAAACTAGATGTCCTTCTTGTGTTCATCTACCTGCTTCTTCATAATTTGTTGATCCTTAGTAGGTGTCTTTTTAACTCCTCTAGCACCCTATCCCTTTCCTCCAAGTACTGCTTTACTGAAGATACTTGTGTGCCTCTATGCCTAAAATATATCAAATGTGGAGGGATCTCCTATACAACGTCTTAAAAGGAGTCATCTGGTAGGCATAGAGGTACAAAATGCCAGTATTCTGCCCATGCCAACCACTTGACCCATACCCTAGGTGCTTCTGAAGCAAAACATCGCAGGTATGTCTCCAAGCCCCAGTTTACTACTTCTATTTGCCCGTTTGTCTCTAGATTATAAGCGGTGCTTCTCTTCAGTACTGTTCCCTGTAGCCTAAACACCTCCCTCAAAAAATGACTGAGGAACACCTTATCTTTGTTTGATACTACAGACTCTGGTATCCCATTTAACCTAACCTCTTCCCTGATGAATGTTGCTGTTATCATCACTTTCGTGTAAGGATGTCATAGGGGGATGAAGTGAACGTACTATCTCAATCTATCAACAGCCATCAGAATCATAGTAAATCTTTTTAATTGAGGTAACCCATCAATAAAGCCCATGGTGACCTCATCCCTTACCCTATTTAGTAGTTCTATGGGGTTGAAGTTGTAAAACCCGAAAACAGTCGTTCGAATGTGTCACACACATTTCGATGTGTCGCGACAAATTTAGGAAAAATTTCAAAGTTGTCAGAATTCGACGAAATAAATTTTATTAAATTCTACACGAAATTTCGATCGAAATGGTATAAAGAACTTATAACAAATTTCACTAGGTTTGAGAATTAAAATTTTTTGAAGATGGTTTAAGTAAAATTTTAGCCTTTCTTCTTTTTTTGCCCTTTATATGACATTAGAGAAGATTATGGGAGAGGGGCATATGCGTCCTTTTGCATATTACTAATTTTTAAACCTTAAGGGATTGAAATAATCGGTCCATTGTGTTTCTTTCAGCCGTGAGAGAGGAGAGCAGACGGGAGAGAAGGGGAGAACGGTGGGGGACGCGTGAAAGCCGGCGGTCGGCTTGGTTTTCCGGTGAGATTCCTTAGGAAAAAGCTAGAGGAAGGCTTGGAGAAGATAAGAGGTAAGTTAAACTTGAAAAACCTTGTTCTTTTCTTGAGATTTTCATGAACCAAAATTTTAGGGTTTGGATTTTGTTGGAGTTTTCTTTAGAATAATGTTAGGGCTTGGTTATGCTTATGTTTTTAAGTCTTAAACTTGAAATTTGATTAAGGAAAATCTTGGTTCCAAAAATAGGGTTTCTTTTAAACATGAGATTTTGTTTAAGAAAGGTGTTGGGAAGGATATAGACACATTTTTACCTTGAAATCCAATGTTTTCCTTAAGAGATTTTGTAGTTTAAATTAGGGCTTTTCCAAATTTTATATTTCTAAGCTTGCATGTTAATAAACTTGTTCCTAAGGGTTATGAGAGCTCTCTAATTAAGAGAAATTGGACTTTTTTGAGAAAAAAATATTTTTCATCATTTTTTTATGTATAAATCTGAAAATTTAATGTCCTAAGCATAGAATTAGGGAAGGGGGATGTTTTCTTATGCAAATGTAATGATATTAATGTTGTAGGTTTCAAAAATTTGATTTTTAAGTAAAACTGAAATTTTCATTTAATTTCTATTTTATTGAAGATAGGGGTTTTGACAAACTATGAGTTATACTAAAGAAATTACCAAATTAAGATCTATGATTTACTTTAAAATGAAGATTTATGCTTTATATAATGAACATGCTTTATTTGATGAATATGCTTATCTGTTTAATTAGAGGTTTAGGATATGGGTAGGTGAATGTGTATTAGTGAGCTTAAGGGGAGTAATTAGCTATGACATGTGTAGGATTAATGTGTTATAGATGTTTAAATTGGCATGAGAGGTTTATATTGTAATGTTTCCTTTAGGTTTTGGAAAGAAGTACACCCTCCCCCCCGATGGCCATGTACTTGTTCCGCTGGCGTACATCACATGTAGCCTCCATCTCTTCCATATCCTTATGCATCCCTTTCTAATTCAACTCCATTGCTAGTCTCCTGTATGTTTTCTGTATAATAGAATGTCCTCCCATAGCGCTCCTGTGGAACTCTTACAGTAGCTGTGGGATATAAACTAAGGTCTGTGGCATCATAAACCTCCCATAGTACATAAGTCTCTCCCCCTCTAAAGAGTAGTCTAGGTGACTATTCTCATTCTTCAAAAGATCTACTCTAATTTTCCCAACTTCTCATCCTACATACTATCCTCTACGATCGCCCCCCAATCCAACATCATTGGTATCGACATAGCCAACTCCTGAAGCTCCCCCATGCAATTGGACAAGGCATTCACCACCTTGTTCTCCAATCTTGGACAATAATGAATCTCAAAATTATAGCCTAATAGCTTTAAAAACCATATAGTAATGCCCCTAATGTGTTCTAAAAGCAATCTACGGGATATCCTCATCCCTTATCCTGATCTGATGGTATCTCGACTTCAGATCCACCTTGGTGAACACCACCGCTCCACAAAACTCATCCAGTAGCTCATCAGTCACCGATAGTATGGAAAACTTGCCCGGTATAGTCTCCTTCAAAGCCCAATGATCAACACAGAATCTCCAGCTCCCGTCCTTCTTGAATAACAAGGTTGGGCTAAAAAAAGGATTCACACTCAGTTTGATAATCCTCTCCTCCAACATCTCTCAGATCAGCTTCTTTATCTCATCCTTCTGAATATAGAGGTAGCAATAAGCCAGAACACTAATTGGTGACACACCCAAATCTCTATCTCTGATACCAATGTTTTAGGATATGTTTGTAGGAAACAAGAGTCTCCCCTGCTGAAATTTAATTTCAGTATTTTGCAAAATAGAACTTGAGAAGAACTTGGAAGAAAAATCAGAATTGAATTTCTTTAATTGATAAAAGATGAAGGAATACAACAAGATACAATGGATCTTCTATTGAAGAGGAAGATCCAGCTCTCCCAAATCAAGGAGTGTAAGTGAGCTAAGCCGGCTCGAGCTCGACTTATAACTTACTCGTGAGTCAAGCTTATTGAGCCACGAGTTCGAGCTCAAGCTCAAACTCGAGCTTGATGAGACTTGGCTTGCAAGCTGACTCGAATCACTATTAATATTTTTTTAGATAATGTTTATTTTATTTATTAAATTTAAATATTATTAAAAATTAATAAGAAATACTTCTTTTTAAATCTCGCCCAAATATTGAATTCTAGATTCCTGGCGAACAACCGACCGTGTGATGCTCGAAAGGTCGTAGGAGGTAGATGACCCGCGTGAGGCGGACCATGCTAGGCTCGAGGCAGACGAGCGTGTTGGTGTTCGCAGATTGTGCATGGAAGACACTCAGACTACATATGAAAGATGACTAGACTGCGGAATTTGTCGTAGGCTTGCAATTCAGCTCGAGCTCGTTTACAGTGGGCCGAGCCGAGCTCAAGCTCGCCTTTTGAGATTGACTCGAGCTTGAGCTCAAGTTCGAGCTGATTTTCTAATTACATGTCGAGTTCGATAAGGACACTTGCCGAATCTACTCAACTCGTTTACAACCATACCCTAATCTTTTGACGTCGCTAGAGCCAAAGGAAAAATCAGGAACCAAGAAATTATAACAACATAGAGATGGAAAAACCTAACTCTAGCCTCCAAACATACTTAAGCATACAAAATTAGGTCAAATCCCATAGTAGTTCCTTCTATTTGAATTTTGCCTAAATACTCTTTAATTTCCTCTTAATCAAGCTAGTTGACCCCCTCCATTAAGGGTTGCAGGCATGGGGGGTGGAACTTCGCTGTTCTTCTTATAAAATTGGACATGTTGGACCGATCAATCATCATCTTTTGTTATTTGATTGTATTTATGCAATTTTTGATAGGTGACAAAAGATTTGAGATTTATTTTCTATGAAAAGTTAATTGATAGTTGTCTTTTTTATGCATGCTTTAATACAATTTTCATTTGATGAAACTTGACGTAGTCATGATCTTGATTAAACTTGTGCCTTTGATATGTTTATATGCAATTTAGAGAATATCTATACCTTGAGAAAAAATGAATATTTTCATTATAGAGGTTCCATGAATGCGAAGTCCGCTTAGAGATATTTAATGTGAATTAGAGAGTGTCATCTCAGATGGTTTGGTGACATAAAGCATCGATCTTTTGTTGACTTGGTTAGAAAAGTAAAATGTATTAGATACGGCCTATGTTAAGAAATGTAGATGTAGAAATAAAAAAATTTGTTTAGAAAGTATAAGAAATGATATTTTTTATTATATTAAATGAGAAGGACTCTTAATAGGACACAATGAAGAAAAAGGACTAACGAAGCTGACCCCATAATGGGATAAAGGTTTGATATTGATGTTGTTATTTTATATTTCTCATCCTTGAGACTAACAAGATTGTTTCAATTCTTTGTTGCAGGCGCACAAGGATCTCAAAACACCATTTTTGATGCCAGGGTGCAAAGTTGCCGACGATTATGGGATTATGCTAATAGCAGTGTGGGGATTATCTGATATCTATAGTTCTATTATTGCTTGGTGCGTTAACTCGATCCAATAGATGCCACAATAGATGATTGAATAGTATTTTAAACTAGCTTTGTGACTTGAGTACTTATGATTGGAACAAAATATTCCTCATAAACCACAAGTAGTTTTAAATATTTTTGTTTTGAAGCATGCTTGGAACTTGTCATGATTTTAAGGAGCCATAATTGCAAATTTTTAGCAGTAAATTTATAAGAATTAGTGGCTGGTATCTCATATTTACTGGAACCAGGACATTTATTTTAAATGAGAAGCCGGTAGTTCTAGAAGAGCTCATTGTTAGCATTATTTGAGTGATATTTAATTGGATATCCCTATGGTGGTTCGGTGACTTAGGTTGGGTTTAGAAAATTTCATGAGGTGATTTCATTTTTTTGAGTTGAAATCTTCTTTTCTCTATAATTAACATGGATGGGTGTTTGCCATTTTACCGATTCATTTGCCTCAAATAGTGCGCATTAGTATAACGATGATAATGGTAATGTTGTTGAAGGATGATTTCATTTTCTAGGGGCATGGTTGGTTCTAGTTTTTCTCCCTAACTCTCATTCAGAGTTACATAAAGCAAAGTTAGATGTAATTATGCCTTGGAAGTTATATTACCTATATTGATTCTTAATGTATTTTTTTGTTATTATTTTTGCTTGCCTATGTCTCTTCTAAATTATTCTGTATGCAGGTGACTGCTCTGGGGATCAATACTGAAGGGGGATTACTGATGGCAAAGTATATTGGAAGACAGAGGGGAACAAACTCCATTATAGGTTTTTTTGTGTCCCTTTTTATTAATGTTTTGCTTATGATTATATTGATTTTTATATGTGATTCATTTATGATTCCTTTGAAAATGTGCGCTTGAATGGTGTTGCTACTTTAATTGGCATAGTAGGGCTATCTGTTGCAGCGTTGGTTCTTGTTGTCCTTATAATCATAAGGACAACATGAACCCGAGATATTATTTATATGTTTTCAATTTTAGATCTTGCAAACTGAAGACTTGAGATATAATTTATAGATTCTTCACTAGTCATACAAAGAATCCTGATTGAAGTGTTCAATTTGTCAAGGGGTATACAAGTGTGAAGGATGCTATAGATGGAGCTGTTAAGATTTTGATTGTTGTGGTATGTATCCATATGACTTTCTTAGAAGCATCTCTCCTAAAAGCACTTCTTTCTCAAGCTTGGAATCCTTTCAATCTCTATTAAACTTCTTTCCTTGAAGACTCTTTCTCTCTCTCTTATAGGCTATCCTTTTTTCTCTTTTTGTAGATATTATCTTTGTTATAAGATTTTAAGTAACATAGAAGCCTCTCTCTTTCTCTCTAAAAAACAATCTTTGTCTTTAATAAGTGTCTCTCTCTGTTAAGTTTTCTTCCTTACAAACCACTCTTTTTTAAATATCCTCCCTCTCATTTTGAAGCTTGTCTCATTACTCTGTCTAGAAAGTTTCTCTCTTCCTCTTCCTCACGTTATCTTCCTTGTCTCCTTTTGAATTTCTCTTTCTGACCATCTAAGAAATCTCTCTCTTCATCTTATTAGGCTCTCTCTTTCATAATTTCCTCTCTTTCTTAAACTCTCTCTATCTCCATCTTCCAAATTCATCTCTCTCTTAGAAGCCTTTTTCTCTCTCTCATAAACCCACCTCTCTTCATCTTAAAGGGCTCTATTACTATATAGAAGGTTTCTCTATGTCCCTTATAAGCCTCTCTATCTCTTTAAGAAATGTTCCTATCTATGAAGATTTTCTCAATTGGAAAGCTTTTTCTCAAAGAAGCCCCTCCCTCTCTTCAAAGCATCTCTCTCTTTGAAGTTTTTATCTCTCTTTTTATATAAACCCATCTATCTTTTAAATGCCTCCTTCATCCCTGCCTTAAAAGCATCTTTAACTCTCTCCTACTTTCTTGTAAGCTTATCTTGTATACGTTCACTCTTTCAGAAGTCCCCGTCCCTCCTAGAAACATCACTCCCATTCTCTCCCTCTTGTAAGCCCTCTGTACATCTTTCCCTTTTTCCTTACCCCCTTTCTCTAAAATCTCATTTTCTATCTCTTTTTGAATCCTCTCAATCTAATTTTCTCTCTCTTTTAAAATCATCTCCCTCCATCTTAAAAGCTATTAACTATCTAATTCTTCCTAAATAGTCCTGTTGCTAAGCACTTTCTCTTAAAAATCTCTCTATTAGAGCCTCTTTCTTTCTTAAAAGCTTCTTTTAATCTTAGAAGCCTTTCACTTTGTTTGAAACATCTCTTTCTCCTAAAAGTCTCGTTGTTGATCGTAGAAGTTTCTTGCATCATTTCTTTTCATCAAAATTCCTTCTTATAAGCTTATATTTCTCTCTTGGAAGCATTTCTTTCTCTTTTAGAAGCACATACATCTCTCTTTTTGAAGGCTCTCCCTCTTAGTAGTTTCTCTCTTAGGAGTATATATATATCTCATAAAAAGCCTTTCTCTCACCCACACACTTACAGGTCTCACTCTCCTAAAAGGCTTGCTCTCTCTTGTAACCTCTCTTTTTTGGTCTCTCTTTTATAAGCTCTATTTGTCTATCTTAGCAATTACATTCTTAGAAGCCTCAAATCCTCTCCTAGATGCATTTCTCTCTTAAAATCCTCTCCTATAAACATCTATGAGAAGTGGACAATTCTCTTCGTGGAACCATCCTTTCGTGGAACCATCCTAAGATTCTTCCTTTCCATAGGATTTGATATGCTAGTGGTGGACAATGCCCTTCGTGGAACCATCCTCGTTTAATCAAGTTTTCTTTTCCTTTAGGTTTGTATTCTTAATTTTTTTGGGATTAGATGAGCTAGGTTTCGATAACGCGCTGTGTTACTTTTCTAGTTTAATCTAATTTTTTTCCTTTAGGTTAGGATTTTTCCTTTCCTTAGGATTAAAAGTGCTAGTGGGAGATAACAACCTTTGTGGCACCATCCTTATTTGATGTAAGCACACTAGTAAGAAAAGCCAAAATAAGGAGAAGAATGGGCAGAACAAAACCAAACTCGATTCAAATAGTAGAAATCATCTATAACATCCAAAATCTCATGAAAAAAACTAGAAGAAAAGTCAAAAGAAATAAAGAAAATAATAGTAAAAAAACACTATCCTCAGATAACCGTCAGAGCGGGTTCCTCAGATGCATCGAAATGTAGGTTAAAGTAAAATAGTTCTTAGGGCTAGCAAACCGATGGTCCACCAGAGCAAGATTGTCCAACCATCCAATCCAAACTCCTCCAGCAAATGCTCCCAAATCAGCCAACAAACACCTCCAAAGCTCAAGAAGAAAGATACAAATGGAGTGGAACTTGCAGAGAGACGAAAGAGATAAGTAGCCGAGACAAAAGAGGAGAAGCTCACAAGCTTTCCTAGAGGAGAAGGAGAATGGAACAAGCTCTCAAGCTTTTCCAAGAAGAACCCTCAGGTTTTTAGCAACTTTGCTCTCAATAATCATCTCCCATTCCCTCACAAAAATATCTCATATTTATAGGAAAGAGAGGACAAACCAAACAGCCCCAAAAACCTTTCATATTCTAAAATTGAATGAGGGAAATGAAAAGCCAACAGCCACCTCAAAATGTTCCCCACTTCTACATAGGAAACAGAGCACCAAAAGCCATAGAAAAAAAACCCCCCATTAGCCACGGGAAAGCAGCCCAGGCGGAACCCGAAGAGGCAGCCGCAAGAACCAAGGAGGCCTGCACGGAACCGAGGAACCAAGGCACGGGAAAACAACCCAGCACAGCCAACTGTGGGAACCAAGGAGCCAAGGCACGGGAACCCATGGGACAACTCAGAATTTTAAGAAGAAAAGGGGAGGAAAAGAGACAAGACCACTCCATAATGAATCCAACTTATGAGCTTACCTTAGAAGATTAATGAGCTAATAAATTCCCCCATTGAATGATCTAAACTTTAGCTCATCATTAATGAGTTAGCAACTTAGCAATTAAGCTCAACTCCAATGAACCATCTCCTCCCAAGCATCACCATAAGCCCAAAACCGTGGACCATAAGCCAACCCGAGAACCAGTAGCAGCCAAGGACAAATCGAGCTAGCAAACCAAAGGTGTACCATGCCCCAAGAACAACCTACCATGATCATTGGATGCCTTCCATCATTGGATAGCTAAAAAAAATAAAAAAACTACATTAACATACTAATGTTGAATAAAATAAAAAATACAGAATATTTGATAGCATCATTATTTTGATCCTGTTATCTTTTCCTTTAGGATAAGATTCTTCAATTACTTAGGATTAGTCGTGCTAGTGGTGGACAATGCATTCATGGCACCGTCCTAGTTTAAGCCAAAATTCTTTTTCGATAGGTTTGGATTCTTTCTTTTTGTAGGATTAGACGTGCTAGTCGTGTACAATGTCCTTCATAGCAATATACTAGTTTAATCCTATTTTATTTTCATTTAGTTTAGGATTCTTTCCTTTCATTGAATTAGACGTGCTCGTGCTGAATAACGTCCTTCGTTGCACCATCAAAGTTTAATCCAATTTTCTTTTCTTTTAGGTTAGCATTCTTCCTTTATTAAGGATTAGACATGCAAGCGGTGGATAATGCCATTCATGCTATCATCCTAGTTTAATCCAGTTTTCTTTTTCTTTAGGTTAGGATTTTTTCTTTCCTTAGGATTAGACGAGCTATTACGGACAACTCCCTTTGTGGCACCATCTTAGTTTAATCCAGTTTTCATTTAATTTATTTTAGGATTTACATTCCTCAGGATATGACATGCTAGTGGTGGATTGCGCCCTTCGTGGCACCGTCCTTGTTTAATTACATTTTCTTTTCCTTTTTGTTAGTATTCTTTAGGTCTATAGGATTAGACGTGCTAGTGTTGGATAACGCACTTCATGGCACTATCCTAGTTTAATCTAGTTTTCTATTCCTGTAGGTTAGGGTTTTACTTTTTCTTAGGATTAAAAGTGCTAGTGGTTGATAATGTCCTTTGTGGCACCATCCTTATTTTAATCCAGCTTCTTTTCCTTTAGGTTAGGATTTCTCCTTTCCATAGGATTAAACGTATGAGTGGTGGATAACACCCTCTGTGGCACCATCTTAGTTTAAATAATTTTTTTTCCTTTAAGTTAGGATTATTTCTTTTCTTAGGACTAGACATGCTAGTGGTGGAAAATGCCCTTCGTGGTACAATCCTAGTTTAATTTTGTTTTCTTTTCCTTTAGGTTAGGATTTCTCCTTTCCAGTTATTTTTTTCTTTAGGTTATGATTCTTTCTTTCCTTAGGATTAGACATGCTTGTGGTGGAAAATGCCCTTTGTGGCACAATTCTAGTTTAATTTAATATTCTCTTCCTTGAGGTTATGATTCTTCCTTTTCGTAGGATTAGACGTGCTGGTTGTGTATAACACCCTTCTTAGAACCATAGCTTAATCTAGTTTTCTTTTCATTTAGGTTAGGATTCTTTCGTTCCTTTGTATTAGACGTGCTAGTGGTGGATAATGCACTTCGTGGCACCATCCTTGTTTAATCCAATTTTCTTTTCCTTTAGGTTTGGATTTTCCTTACCTCAGGATTAGACATGCTAGTGGTGCCTCAAAATTTTTGTTGCACTATCCTAATTTTAATACAATTTTATTTCCATTTTGGTTAGCACTTTTTTTTTTCTTAGAATTATATGTGTTAGTTATGGATAATGCCCTTCGTGGCACCATCCTAGTTTAATCCAGTTCTTTCCTTTAGGTTAATATTCTTCCTTTCCTAAGGTTTAAATGTTCAAGTGGTGGATAATGC